GGTGTAACGTAAAAATGACAACATTTAATTGATTCGGATGTGGATGAGCGTACCAATTGTGACCGCCATGATAATCAGTGTCATATTTGTCACATCTGGTGCACCTCGCTCGCCTTTCGACATCCGATAGATTGCTTCAATCGCCTCAGCAGCTAACTGAAGACAGACAGTGGACATGAAGACCGCGAGAACAATGATGGCAATCGGTTCAAATCGTGTGCGCCCTTCACGCGCGCCCGTGTATGTTGCCCAGCAAAGAAAGTGAGTGGTTGGGGAAAAGACGGAAAATTATTAAGTACATCAAACAACAAATTGGTTCGGTGGAACTGAAAAAATAACAATAAAGAACAAAATGTATTCCAAAACCATTAGAATGACCTGAAGTTCAACGATCATAGTCAGGTAAGATTGGAGTGAAGTGAAAATCACATAAACTGGTGACAACTAACTGGGCCTTAAAGTGTTCTGCCCGTCGATCTAGATGGCGTTGCTGAATATGAATCTGTGCCGTCGAACTCCTTAATTACCTTAGGCCTGCTTTCCTTGGACCTGTACTACTAATTATTTGGAAGAGATTGCGACTATTACCGATGATCGCAGTCTTCTCCATCTCTCTATACTTTCCTACCCACTAATTCTCACAGTCATTCTTCAAACTCTTGATGAGCTGGCGTTTAAGGGATTTGCGCGCTTTGTCGTTTTTCGAATCCGAAGGAATGGCTTTGCTAATGTCCTGCAAGGCAACCGAGGTGGTTTTTGATTTGATCGTGTGCCGGAATATGCCGTTGTTCTGATTGACATTTGGATCGCTTCCTTGATTGCCGTCCGGTATTCACTCCGGCTGATGGTTAAGTTGAGAGGCGGTCTGATAGCTCCGCTTCGAAGGCCGATTTGCGATCGACCCTTGGTCCCATGCACCCAATGAGACAAACGGAACGTTGAGGGGATAGCGCCTTATTGGCTGGGGGCTGCCCAGCTTGGGCGGGCGGTAACTGCCCACTGAAGTGCGAAAAATTCTCCCACCGTCAGGAGGAAGCCCCAGGCACCCCGCTCCCACGTCCATCTAGCGGTTTTTTTGACCGGTAAACTGCCCCTCGTGTTTATTTGCTGGAGTCATCTTTCCAGGGGCTGGACTGAATAGTCAAGGAAAACCAGGAGATGCCAAAGCAGCTGGCTTTGTGAGACTGATCTTCGTCCGGCTTCTACCCATTGACCTTTCAGGCACAATTAGATTTGCGGCTGAGGAGCCATTCTGTATAGCTCGCAGGGTCATAGAGGCACGCAAGCCAGTACACTACATCAAGGTGCAATCTCCTCGTGATTGACCAGTAA